CAGGGAGAAGAATGTTTCAAGCAGATGGGAAAGTGTAAAAAAGGACCTTGAATTTGGATAGAGTTTGACATATAGGAAGAAAAAGAGAAAAAGGAAAGAAGGCCGGTGTGTTGCAAACGGAAAAAATGATGTTCTTTCTACCCTTCTAAATTCTTCTGGCTGGACTAATAAATTAACATGAGACAGATTAACAGGAGAAAATGACCAAATTTATCACTTATGTACATATGGGGTTTCCTGAGAATATAGGGCCTGAAGATACATTGGACAGTTGAGGTTTATGTGCAATTCTGAACTAAGGAGAAGGAGAATGAAGTCTGGGATTTCTAAGGGAAAGCAGGCAACTCACAAGCAGATGAGAAACAACAAATTAGTCAATAAAGTCTTGCTGAGCCACACAAACACTGGAACCTGGAGCCCAACCAACTTTGTGCGCTTCCTCTCTGTGTGCCTCACATAGTTCATATGTTAAGGTGATGGCTTCCTTTCTTTAAGCAGGTTTTCTATCTGAATTCCTTTAGGCAGTTAAAGGTTCTTTCTGAGTAAAAGGTGTGAGTCAGCAGGAAATCACATCCACAATGCAAGGCCAATGTAGAGCAAAATGATTTTATTGAATGCGCCTGGGTGTAGGAGGGTTGAGCCCGAAAGGGGTCAGCCTCAAATAACAGCTGGGGTGTAGTTATATACTCTACTTCTAGCTTCTGACAGTTCCTGCTGATGTACTCTGCCTGGTGACATACTTTGCAGTTGGACTACTCTGGTATCACATCCTGCATCTGCTGGGTGATTCATTGTTTTGCGGATAATGCGATAATCCTTATTCAGCAGAAAGCTGAGCAAAGGTCAGGCAAGCAATGCATTTTTCACAGTTTCCTCCTTTTGCAAGCTTTTACCTTTACCCTTTAAAACATTACTAACCCTTTCACTGAGACTTTTGTTTTTTTAAAATTAACCAACTTGAAATAATCAATATCCTAAAAAACTTATTTGGACTGAAAAACTGTGCCTCCCCTCAGTTTCTAGAGCATAAGGAATGAGAGGGAGAGTGTGTCAAGGTGAGGTGGGAAAGACAGGTGAGTGCAAGATCGCACAGGTCTTTATTGCCCAGATACAAAGTGTGGATTTTATCCTTAATTTATGTGGACCATGAATGAGAGGGTAATAAAGGTGAGAGCCAAGTTCAGTTGGAGGACCTCTGCAGTCATTCTAGCAAAGATGGTATTGCCCTTAGATTGGTGTTTTTTCACAAGGACACATTCCACAAAAAGTGGACAACTGAAAATATGTTTTGGAGACAGAAAGTTATAAAACTTTCTGATAAATTTGGATGTGTTAGGTTAAGGGAAGAGAGAATTGAGTATTTATTTATTCAGCTAATGTTAATTGAACACCCTCTCTATGCCAGGTCTGAGCTAGGTGCTGGAGAGGGGAGGTGTTCCAGACACAAAGCCCTACCTTCACAGGCTTGGTGCAGAGGGTACATGCACCAAGTGATCAACGTAATTTCAAGCAAAGGGAGAGGCTAAGAAGAAAGTGAGGAGGGTAAGGAGACAGATCCACAGGTGGACTGTTTCTGGGTGGTAGTCAGGAAGAACACCATTTAAGCAGAGATGTGATGAATAAAGGGAATTATCCAAGTGAAGGTCAAGAGCAAGAGTTCCCAGGCAAAAGGAACATCAATTAAAAAGCAGACTCTACTGACTTGGGGTGTTCCAGGGACACAAGGAGTCTGCCTGCTGCGACTGGAGCAGATACTCAGGAGGTGGTTCAGGGAGACTGGCTTGGGCCGGATTATTAGGGCATTTTATTCTTGGTAAGGCATTTAGATTTAATTAAAGTATAATAGAAAAACCTATGATGGTCTTGGGTAAAGAGGTGAGGTTAAATAAACTATATTTTTAAAAGATCATATTCACTGCTTGTAGAGTTAAGCCTTGACAGTGCTCTTTCTTTATTTGTAAAGCAAATGCCTGAATTAAGTTTTCATTCCCCAGGCATCCACTTCAAAGACACATACACTTCCAAGATGGCTATCACTAATAAACACATATCCAGCCACAAGACTAGAAAAGAACCCCTGCACTCTGATATCCTTTATTTTAGAGCTTATGGTTGATTTCTATTACATGACCACTTGACAGCTTAATTTTTCTCTTGCTGTGGATTAAGTTCAAGCTTTTATGTTTTAAACCCACTGATAAAGAGTAAACCCATAAAATCTCTCTCTCACTTGCCCCAACCTTGTTATGTGGCCCCAAATGTGCCACGTTTAACTTCCAGGACTTGTAAATAATAAGTCTGTCTCTTTCAAAGTTTCCTGATGGCTGTTGCTGAGGGCATCTTATAATCATGAGAACTACAGGGCCCATCCAGCCACACAGTTTGTTTTGATAGGTTGAGCCCAACACAAAACTGCAGGAAGTAGTGAGTCTAAGGGGCCAAGAAAGGAAGCAAGCACAGCAGCTAGCTAGCAGGCGATTGCAGTACCGAAAGGATTAAAGTGATCAGATTCAGGATGCATTTAGATAGCTAAAAAGCCCAGACAGCAGTGACAGAGGACTCCCGGCGTGCACACCGGTTTGACTTACCCAGCCAGACATGGAGCCGATCGACTCTTCAGAGACCTGTTTTCTTCCACTAGCTAAGCATTTGCAGAGGCTGATGCCTTGAGAGGGAGAGCAGGGAGGATCCCTGGAAGAAAGTGCTCATAATGCTGGCTGATAAATTAGATGTGGAAAGAGGGGAATTGAAAGGGGTGGGAGAGAATAACAGAATAAAGAACTAATCCTAGTGGCATACTAGCCATAGTTATAAAAAATGCTAATCATCCTTTGCAATGTTAATCGTGGTTGCTTTGTTCTGATTAAAGAAAAGCCCCCTTTGACCTGGCTGGGAGGTGTGTGCCTCAGGAGTTTACCTCAGGAATGCTGTCCATTCTCCTAATCTGAGGACAAAGGAGACTACCTGACCTCATGGAAAGATTAGCAACTTGATTATCTATCAGAATGCTGGACCCTGGACCTGTGACTGACTCATTGGTGACAGCTCCCAGCCCACATTCTTCCCCTCTTGCCTATAACCATTTTTTTTGTTCTCCTTTTTGCCCTTTCTCACATAGTCATTGTTTCTCTACCCTTGAAAAGCAGCTGGCAAGTGAGGGTGGGCAGAGCAGATTTTACAGGATGACTCACTGCTCTCCCATACTGCCAGCAATATTGGAATAAATGCTCATATACAATTCAACTTTGTCTCTGCTTAATTAGCTCAAGCAGTGACAGGCAGCCCGGACCCATTTGTTGTTCCGTTTCAGAATCAAGAATGACTCCTGTGTTTTGAACCTAAACAACTGGTTGAATGACAATCTTATTTGAAGAGAGGAGGCTGGAGGGAAAGGCAAATCTGAGATTCTGTTCTGACATTACATCTTGGCTGTGAAGTTAGCCCTAATACACAAGTCTGGGAGACACAGATTTGCCAAGAGAGAGTCAAGAAGGGTTCACTGTTATATATTATTTTACTTATCATGACAGCCAAGGATTCTAATATGTGTTTGCTCCATATTCATAAAGAAAAATAACCTAAAAATAAAAGACCAAAGTGAGAGGCAACAAGGGTTTATTTGAGATAAAAAAGAATTGCAATTCTGGGATGCACTGATTCAGGCAGAAACCCAAAATAGTTCCCATCAGGAGGTGGAGACCAGGGAAAAGGAATAAATACATGAATAGAAGGAAGACAGTTCTGTTGGTGTTAATAAGCCAAGGAAGGAATTTCTATAGGTGCAATGAAACTAAACTGTTCTTTAGCTATACCCTCTGGTGCTAATTGTAAAGAATGTCTTATTTTCAGTACTATCTTCAGGGTGTCTGCTCTCCTGTTAGCTTTGCAGATGGTTGTTTGGAATGCGATGGTTTGGGGGCTCAGGCCAAAGGTTGTGCAGTTCAAACATTCCAAAAATTTGAGAGTAAGAGGACCAGGCAATTCCCCTGGGATGGCAGCTCTGACTATTTATAATGGAAAAACCCGAAAACAGCCAGATGTATTTATCTTTACAGTAAAAAAAATATATAATTGCTGCAGGGATTAGAGACTTTACCCTAGGGCCCCACCTGCCTGGAGTGGTCACAGCAGTGCCTGAGAGAGTCCCTGTTTTCTGTTTTTACAGCCAAAATATGTCCCCTCCCAAGTGACAAACTTCCTCTTCAAATATGCTTTAAATCTAATTGTTAAGTCATAAAGACCTAAAGTCAAACTATTACTTTCTCACAATTTCTCTTGTTTCTGTTTTGATCCTGTGAGAGTCGAAATCATAGTTTATTTTTTGGGAGCAACTTTGTTTATACGTTCTTAGGGAACATGATGCTGTCTTTCTCAGAACTAGGTAGATGAGTTGCTCAGCCTTGTGGGGCTCAGAGACACCAGCTGCCTACATGACCCCAGTTGAAGCTGGATGGACTGATTATACATATATTTGTTCTGATCATATAGAAATGGGAACTTGTGGTCTCGACTAGGCCATGTCAGTAGATAGTAATTTAGTGAAGGATAGGAAACTAGAATCAGCACTTTGTAAGCTGGCTCTGTAGTTGCCTTTTCTACTCAGCTACACTCATTGATCAAACTCAATTGGTATGGTTTTCAACAGTAAAATAGACTGATACAAAACATGTTTCCAAAAGGAAATATTAATTATATTATCTATTGCTATTTAACTCAACTCATAAAGCAAGCCATCCCAAGGCAGGTGCCCTTCCCCCATTCAGGTCTCAACTGTGACCTCATCACTGACATCATATCCCCTAAGGCTGGCCCTGGAGAAGGGCAGCTGCCAACTCTATGGGAGCCAGGTGGCTGTAGGGGTAAACTGGGAGGTGGTGTTTATAGGACGTGGGTGAGAGGACATCATTGGACACCTCCGGTCCCTGCCCCTAGGTGTACTCAGTGCTGCGTCCAGGTTTCTACAGGTTATTAGGTGGCCCTGCATCTGCTCTTGAGGAAATATGGCACAGACTAGGAAAGAAGCAGGGGACAGCTGCTTGGTGTCCGATAGAGAGCCATCACGTATCATCAGAGTGTCTGTCAAGACTCCGCAGGACTGCCAGGAATTTATGCTGGCAGAAAATAGCAGCGTCCGTCACTTCAAGAAACAGATCTCCAAACGCCTTCACTTAGACACTGACCGACTGGTGCTCATCTTCACTGGAAAGATCCTCCGGGATCAAGACATTCTGAGCCAACGTGGCATCCTTGATGGAACTACGGTCCACTTGGTGGTGAGGACCCGTGTGAAAGGAACTCTGTCTACTCCCACAACTCTGCCAGATTCTGTAGGCCACTGCGCCCATCGTTCTGAACCCTCTGCCTCAGAGAGTGCTGGGATGGTGTCCAGGCTGGGCTGGCTCGCCCGGAGCTCACCTGATCTGGCTGACTTCTTTGGCCAGCTGGCTCAACTCCTGATGGCTGCACCGGAGCCTGTGGTACAGTTCTTGGAAGACCCTCTGGTTCAAGGCCTGGCAAGTGAAAAACCAGCCAATACCAGCCATGTTCCTGCATCCTCAAGGCCAGTACAGAAACCTGAGCCTGCTCTTAAGACTCTAGAAACCTTGCAGAATCCAGCCCAACATCAGGCAGTCCTTCAGGCAAACAAGCCAGGGCTAGAGGCCTTGAAAGCAGTGCCAGGTGGTGACAATGCTCTGCGTCCCGTCTGCTCTGATATCCAACAGCTCATGCTCTTCACTCTGGCCCCACTGGTTGCTTCCAGAACCCACAACCCAGGTTCAGAGCTTTGCAGAGGGGAGGCCAATGCTCACAGCAGTACTGACACCACCGCTGCCTCTGCACCTATCAGGTCATTGACACAGGGGGTCAGTGCAGGAGTAGTCGCCCAGGCCAAGGGCATGGCCTCAAACCAAGCCAATTCAGGGTGCAGGACTGGTATGCCAGACTCATATTCAGGCCAAGATCTTTCCTCCCAGGATGGTCAGCAGCCCATAGGGAAAGCCACTCTAACCAGTGAGCTGAGACCCTCACCCTGTGCCTTACGTAGAGCCTTGCATGTCCTTCAGCAAAATCCAGCTTTGCTACACCAGCTGGCTACTGGCAGCCCCCTGCGGCATCACATACCACTGCTTCCCATCCTCACCAACCCACGAGCACTGCAGGCATTGATACAGATAGAAAAGGGCCTGCAGATACTGTCCAGGGAGGTGCCTGGTCTGGGACCTTGTTTATGGGGCTCAGGTAGACCACATGGGGCAACAGAAGCCCCTGAAACTAGGAGTGCAGGACAGGGTCACAGAACAGACCCTGTGCAACCCACTGTGGCTGTTCTTCAGCTTCTCCGTGCTCTGGCCAGCGCCTGCCCGCAGTCTACCCAATCCTCACTATCCTCAGCGGAAAGCAGATACCAGCAAGAACTGGAGCATCTGAAGGCCATGGGTTTTGCTAACCGTGATGCCAACCTGCAGGCCCTGATGGCTACAGGTGGAGACCTCCATGCTGCCATTGAGAGGCTGCTGGGGGAATCAGAGGCCTAGCTTCCTTCAGCTGATGTGCACAATGCCACCCCATGAAGAGGGAGGTGGAGAAAGGGAAGGGGGAAGGGAGGGGAAGTAGCGTATTTTGGGAATTCCTCCTATTCAGATCACGTGCACACTGGAACAACCCCTCCCTCACTGCCCAAGCCTGTTCCACATTAAAAAGATTGCTTGGATCTTATGTGTGATATCAACTTTGGGATAGGTAGGCAGAGAATGTTTTCTGAGGGGAGGGAAATGATCATGTTAAGTGGTCTTGGTTTGGGGCTTTATCTTCTGATGCACTTAACCTCAGAGTATTTTCCAAATTTGAACATGAAGTGGGGAACTTGTATTTTTTTTTTCAGTAATTTTTTTTTTCTCCTGCTCACTTGGAAACCGAGCTCCTCACCAACATTACCATTGTCACCATGACTACCTCTATTCCACTTTGAGTGACTCCAAAGGAATCCTGGCTCGTTCCCCCCCAGGAAGCCATGACTTTCCTTACAGCCTCTGCAAGCTACCTACTCTTTGACCACATTTCTCTGTCTTTAGGTCTAGTCTCTTAGTATTGTGGAAGAGATGTTTAACTTTCCTCCCAGCTAGGGCACTTCCTTAGATATCTTTCTGTCAAAATCCTGCTCAAATGAGATCCACCTCCACTACTGAAGCTCTACCCTCTCCTTCTATGCAGATCTCCTCCCTTTACGATGCAAAATCCTTGGCTCTGCTGCTGTATCAGGTTATCTCTCCTCTTATCTCAGAATTTCATCTGCCCTCCCAGTGACCATGTCTCACCATCCTCTGCAATCTCTCTGACTTATCCCCAGTATGGTGCAGAAACGTTCCCTGAACTGTTCCTCATTCCCAATCTTCCCAAGATGTTTTATGTAATTTCATACACTGACCTTTCTTTCTTTAAGCTGTTTCATTTCATCTATTCTCTTATCTACTGTCTTACAGAGCGGTGATTCGTGAGAATATGTTACACCAATTTTTTTATTCATCGTTCAAAGAGTTTGGCCGTTCCCTTGGTTCTTGTTCTTAAGGCTTATTACATGGTTCCCAAAGCTGAGTCTATCTGTACTTTCCGAAGTTTACTAGCCTTTCCTTTAGTTGTCCGAAAGGAACCTCGGGCTCAGCATGTCCAAATATAGCTCAGCATTTTTTCCTTGACTCCCATCCATACTCTAAATTACGTGGGCCCAGTATCTTAGTGAGAGTCATCTATGCTTTCCCCATCCTCTTATTATCTTCTGAAAACTCTGCTCTATCACTGAGGTGACTCATGGTGTAGGCAGATGGAGCATGCCTGCTTTGGTTTGTAATTTTTCCAATGTCACACAGTTTGTGATTGACAGAGATGAAGAAACCCAAGCTCTTTGATTCCGCAGTTTGTGCTCTTCGCTTTACACTGTCTGACAGCCAGGATCAGTCCATTCCCAGGAAGACAGTGAGCAGAAAGTGTGTCCTGTGTGGCCCTGGTCACAACTCCTAAGGAACAACTTAGGAGTTTAGAAACTTATTTAGAAAGGAAAAGCTCAGAGAAAAGCTCAAATCACAATAAAGAAATTACTTGTGCCTACTTATAACGAGCACAATAAAAATAAAATAAAATAATGTGACAGTCAAGTAGGAGGCAGAGAGAGGTACTAGGGACTTTCCATAGGAGTCAGACGAAAAGATTGTTTTTGTTTTTTAGTTTGTACATATACAAGAAAGTGAGTGTGTGTGTGTGTGCGTGCGCATGTGTGTTTTGTAACAGAGGCATACAGACAGAATTGGGAGTGGTGGGGGAATTCTAGTCCTGGGGAGGCTACGACGTTGAGGAGAACTCAGCAGGGTAGCTGCTGAAGACCTCACCAGGGCTGAATCAAAATTCAGTTCAAAGGGTCTCCCTTAGCACAAATGGAAAGATGTAGCCTCAGGGCAAAAAGAAACAAGAATATCCGATACAGCAGGATTCCATTGTTAGGCTTATTGTAAACCCTTCTCTGCAATTTGGTAATTCTACTGATTCCTATGCAAGTGTATGACATTTGCAAAGTTGTCTAGCAGAAGGGTTGCTTAAGGTCTAGCAGGGCCAGGCTCACAGAGCAGGCTGAAACATTTGCTCACGCTTGATGAATGGTGACTTCTGTCTATCCTCAGATGTCAAATTCTTTTCATGTGTGCACTTAAGAATAGATGATACTAAACACTGGGTTGTGGTGATCAGGGAAATATTAACTGGGAAAATGCTGCTTTCTCCTATTAACCACTAACCTCATTTCAGACTTTAGTTAAAACTGATTGAATATTCTTAACACACACACACACACACACACTCACAAATGCTCACGGACACAAGAAATCTTTCAGAGGTGTTTATTTATTTTTATTTTATTTAATTAATTAATTTTTGTTACAGATGTTTCTCCTTTTTACCCCACCGAACCCCCTCCCACACCCTCCCCGCCCTGTCCCCAGCTTTGCATGTCCATTGTTCAAGCATACATGCATATAAGTTCTGTGATTTATCTCTCCCCCACCACCCCCTCTTCTGCGAATTCAGTCTGTACCCCACTTCCACATCTCAGGAATCACCCTATTCCTCAGACTGTTATGTACATTATATTCCACAAATAAGTCGGATCATGTGATATTTATCTTTCTCTGCTTGGCTTGTTTCGCTTAGGATAATACTCTCCAGGTACCTCCATGTTGTCTCAAAGGATAAGAGATCTTTGTTTCTTATAGCTGCATAGTACTCCATGGTGTATATGTACCACAGCTTTTTTATGCATTCGTCTACTGATGAACATTTGAGCTGTTTCCAGATCTTAGCTATTGTAAATAGTGCTGCTATGAACATGGCGGTATATATATTTTTTCTGATTGGTGTTTCAGGCTTCTTAAGGTATATGCCTAGAAGTGGGATCAATGGGTCAAATGGCAGTTCAATTTTTAATTTTTTGAGGTGAAACCATATTGTTTTCCCAAGTGGCTGCACCAGTCTGCATTCCCACCAGCAAAGTATGAGAGTCCCCTTTCCTCCACAGCCTCGCCAACACTTGTTGTTTGATGATTTGTTGATGGCGGCCATTCTGACAGGTGTAAGGTGATACCTCATTGTTGTTTTAATTTGCATCTCTCTGATGATTAGTGATGTTGAAGATTTCCTCATATGTCTCTTAGCCATTTGTATGTCCTGTTTGGAGAGGTGTCTATTTAGTTCCTCTGCCCATTTTTTAATTGGGTTCTTTGTCTTCCTTTTGTTGAGCTGTATGAGCACTCTATATATATTGGAAATTAATTCCTTATCTGATGTATCATTGGCAATGATGCTCTCCCATAGAGTGGGTTGCCTTTCCATTTAGGTGGTTGTTTCTTTTGCTGTGCAGAAGCTTTTAGGTTTGATATAGTCCCGTGTGTTCTTTTTCTCCTTTGTTTCTGTTGCCTTAGGGGATGTATCAGTGAAAATTCTGCTACCTATGATGTCTGAAATTTTGTTGCCTACATTTTCTTCTAGGATTTTTATGGATTCATGAGTCACATTTAAGTCTTTTATCCATTTTAAGTTTATTCTTGTGTAGGGTGTAAGTTGATGGTCTAGTTTCATTTTTTTGCATGTAGCTGTCCAATTTTCCCAACACCATATATTAAAGAGGCTGTCTTTACTCCACTGTATGCTCTTTCCACCTTTGCCAAATATTAATTTAGCATATTGCCTTAGGTCCATTTCTGGGTTCTCTGTTCTGTTCCACTGGTCTATATGCCTGTTCTTGTGCCAGTACCAGGCTGTTTTGGGTACAGTGACTTTGTAGTATAACCTGAAATCTGGTAATGTGATACCTCCAACTTTGTTCTTCTTTTTCAAGATTGCTGTGGCTATTCAAGGTCACTTTTGGTTCCATATGAACTTTTGAAGTATTTGTTCTAGTTCTGTGAAGTATGTTGTTGGTATTCTGATGGGGATTGCTTTGACTCTTTAGATTGCTTTGGGCAGTATGGACATTTTAATGATGTTAATTCATCCAATCCATGAACAGGGTATGTGCTTCCACTTTTTTATATCTTCCTCTATTTCTTTATTCAATGACCTGTAGTTTTCTGCAAATAGGTCCTTTATTTCTTTGGTTAGGTTTATTCCTAGATATCTTAAATTTTTTGCCACAGTGGTAAGTGGGATCGTTTTTTTAGTTTATCTTTCTGTGAGTTCATCCTTGGTGTATAAGAATGCCATCGATTTCTTGACATAAATTTTGTATCCTGCTACTTTGCCAAATTCATATATTAAGTCTAGTAAACTTTTGATGGAGTCTTTGGGGTTTTCTATGTGTAGTATCATGTCATCTGCGAATAATGACAGTTTCACTTCCTCCTTTCCAATTTGGATCCCTTTTATTTTTTCTTCCTGTCTGATTGCTGTGGCTAAGACTTCCAGTACTATGTTAAATAAGAGTGGCAAAAGTGGGCATCCTTGCCTTGTTCCTGTTCTAAGGGAAATGCTTTTAGTTTTTGCCCATTGAGTATGATGTTGGCTGTAGGTATTTCATACATGGCCTTTATTATGTCAAGATATAATCCCTCTTATCCCATATTGCTGAGTGTTTTTATCAGAAATAGATGCTGGATTTTGTCAAAGGCTTTTTCAGCATCTATTGATATGATCATGTGGTTTTTATTCTTCATTTTATTTATGTGGTGTATCACATTTATGGATTTGCGAATATTGTACCAGCCTTGCATCCCAAGAATGAATCTCACTTGGTAAAGGTGAATAATTTTCTTGATGTATTGCTGGATCCAATTTGCTAGTATTTTGTTCAGGATTTTGGCATCTATGTTCATCAGGGATATTGGCCTGTAGTTTTCTTTCTTTGTAGTGTCTTTTTCTGGTTTTGGAATTAGAATTATGCTGGCTTCATAAAATGAGTTTGGAAGTCTTCCTTCTTCTTGAATTTTTTGAAATAGTTTGAGGAGTATGAGTGTTAGTTCTTCTTTGAATGTTCGGTAAAACTCCCCAGTGAAGCCAT